TAAAATATATCTTATGAAATTGTCCTTGTAAAACTAAAAGTTTGATTATTTTCATAAAGACAAGTTACTAGAAATTTTTCCTAACCATGAGATAATAACGTTTTGACTATTAATTATCTATACTTAATAAAAATGTGTTGTGTTCATGCTACTGTTGTTATTTAATTGTCTCTATTAGAGAGGGAATCTGCAGTATCAATTTTTATAAATATCGCGTGTGTTTGTGTGTAGTATTAATGGAAGCGTTCCTTTTGTGAGGTACTTTTCTAACCCAAGAAATAAAATATTGTATTTCCAGAAGGAACAGAATACAGAAAACTATCTCTCTTTTTTTCTTTTTTACTTTTTTATTTATTAATCTTTTTTTTTCTTCTCTTCCTCTTTTGTTTTCAAAATAAGATTATCATTTTCTGTTATCATATTTAGGGCTTATTAATAAAAAAGCAATATTTTTAAATCGTTGTTCTAATTCAGTAAGCATTTTTTTTCTATAATGAAATTTTGAGTGTCTTTGTATATATTAAAATAAGCAACACTCCCTCATTGTAACGCGTTTTGAATTTGTTTTCCTCTACATTAAAAAAAATGTTTTGATCCACAGTTATCAAGTGTGAATATGACAAAAATTCCAGTATTGTTGGCACTTCTTAGCATTTATAACAATAAAACACACGTTGACCTACAAAAGTCATTCTATTTCTACTCAAAATCTACAATGTACTGAATTCGGACCAAAACAAGTTTACAAGTCAATATCTAATTTGTTTCAATTTATATCAAATCGATTTAAGTCCATCTTAGAGGGGAAAATGCACCAGACAGAAGCCTATATTAGACCTCTCATTAACGGGGAAATGAGACATTATGTAATATAGACTCTCATTAGTTTGCCTGCTGGTTCCGTTGTTGTGTATACCTTGTTCTCATTTTAAAACGTCACATGTTTTGCTTGGATCGACCGAGATCTATATTGCGGGTTGCGTCGATGAAGCAGATGACGCATACGCTTCCGGAACACCTGGTCTCATTCACAATGTAATTTTTCAGGAATCTCTTCGTAAATCTTTTTTAGTACATATGTTCCTCTAGTTTTTTTTTATTATTGAATTTGAGTTTGGATTATGATTATCATGACCTATGGATAAGCGAAATAACAAAACATAAATTATTTTAATAGTCGACGTACTTCAACGTTTGAGTAATTGAGAAAATGACATAATCTGATGGCATGCTGAAACCATTCCAATACAGACTCAAATTCAAAAATTCACCAGGAAGCAACAAGTAGCCAAGAGTGTCAGAAAAAACGCAAATGTAAAATCACAAAGGGTACTACTTTTCATGCTAATATTAATGAAACTCAGAGTTAGAGACTGGAAAGAGGTATCTGGACAAATATCTAAACTATTCACGGACAAAGGGTCATTACAGCGTAAAAAGGGCTAGACTTCGAAAAGAGTATCCTTAAATTCGCAGTAGTTGTATATCTATCATATAACAAATGTGTCACTGAAATCGACTGAAACGTGAACGAGGAAATATCCGGACTAGGATTTATATGCTGTTTTTTTTCTTACAAAAGGGCATAAATTAGGAAGACAAAAATCGCAGATGCATGCCCTATGAACAGAGAGGGCCATTTTGAGACGGTGTCTCCTTTAAGTAGTTGCTGGCTCCCTCACTGAACAACATACTGGAGGACCATCGCATGTCATGCGAAGAAATCAGGGTGAAATTTCTTGTCCAAGGGCACAAACACATCAGCACAGAACTGTCCATTTCTCAGCTTCCCGAAAAAATACAAATCGCCACAGAATTGTCCATTTCTCAGCTTCCCTAGAAATACAAAACGCCACATAACTTTGATATTTACCTGAGGCTACGTTCCAACAACTGATTCTACAACGACACCAACCTATCCTACGACAGCTGATCCTACAACAACATCAACCTATCCTACGACAACTGATCCTACAGCAACACCAACATATCTTACCACAACTGATCCTACATCAACATCAACCTATCCTACGACAACTGATCCGACAACAACACCAAACCTATTATTCGACAACTGATCATCCAACACCAACCTATTCTACGACAACTGATCCTTCAACATCAACCTATTCTACGACAACGGATCCTACATCATTAACCTATCCTACGACAACTAATCCTACAACAACATTAACCTATCCTACGACAACTGATCCTACAACAACATTAACCTATCTTACCACAACTGATCCTACAACAACACCAATCTATCCTACGACAACAATCTATCCTACGACAACTGATCCTACAACATCAACCTATCCTACGACAACAACTGATCCTACAGCAACACCAACCTATCCTACGACAGCTGATCCTACAACAACATCAACCTATCCTACGACAGCTGATCCTACAACAACATCAACCTATCCTACGACAACTGATCCTACAACAACATCAACCTATCCTACGACAACTGATCCTATAACAACATCAACCTATCCTACGACAACTGATCCTACAGCAACACCAACATATCTTACCACAACTGATCCTACATCAACATCAACCTATCCTACGACAACTGATCCGACAACAACACCAAACCTATTATTCGACAACTGATCATCCAACACCAACCTATTCTACGACAACTGATCCTTCAACATCAACCTATTCTACGACAACGGATCCTACATCATTAACCTATCCTACGACAACTAATCCTACAACAATATCAACCTATCCTACGAGAACTGATCCTACAGCAACATTAACCTATCTTACCACAACTGATCCTACAACAACACCAATCTATCCTACGACAACAAGCTATCCTACGACAACTGATCATACAGCAACACCAACCTATCCTACCACAACTGATCCTACAACATCAACCTATCCTACGACAACAACTGATCCTACAACAACACCAATCTATCCTACGACAACTGATCCTACAACATCAACCTATCCTACGACAACAACTGATCCTACAGCAACACCAACCTATCCTACGACAACTGATCCTACAACAACATTAACCTATCTTACCACAACTGATCCTACAACACCATTAACTACAACGAGATGTTCAGGTAAACTTAAATCTTTTTCATTTAAATTCATTGTTAAAGGTAACAAACATCTATATCATTAGAGAAATAAAAAGATGGCGACCAATTTTGATATTACCAGGCAACTTTTGGTTTAAAGAAATATTTGAGTATCGTATCTACATGTATGTATTTGTGTAATTGGTATTTGTTTACACTGTTGACTTAAGAAGTAGTATATTGCACGTTTTATCGTAAACGTAATATTATATCGTAATTTATGGTAAACGACAAAACGTGTTTCGGGTGATTTTTTTTTATAGAACTTGTAACCATAAACGGTGCATTTTCGTGGTTAAGGACGTTTTAAAATACAAGTTTTTATTGTGAGGTATGTGTCCTGTCGTTGCCCCAAAAATGTTTTTATTTTTTTTCATGTGTGGGTTACAGATCAAACCGTTCCAAGGTATTTAACATTTTACAGTATTTAAGTGTTTAACCTCAACAGGAATTCGACTGTACGACATACGGTTTCTTCTGACTTACGTCATTCAGTAATTCAGTGATAAATCGATTGATTGTCTGATTGATTTTGTGATTGATTGATTGATTTTGTGACTGATTGATTTTGTGATTTTGTGATTGATTGTCTGATTGATTTTGTGATTGATTGTCTGATTGATTTTGTGATTGATTGATTGATTTTGTGACTGATTGATTTTGTGATTGATTGATTGATTTTGTGATTGATTTTTTGATTGATTGTCTGATTGATTTTGTGATTGATTGATTTTGTGATTGATTGTCTGATTGATTTTGTGATTGATTTTGTCTGATTGATTTTGTGATTGATTGATTGATTTTGTGATTGATTTTGTGATTGATTGTCTGATTGATTTTGTGATTGATTGATTTTGTGATTGATTGTCTGATTGGTTTTGTGATTGATTGATTGATTTTGTGATTTATTGATTGATTTTGTGATTGATTTTGTGATTGATTTTGTGATTGATTGATTGATTTTGTGATTGATTTTGTGATTGATTTTGTGATTGATTGATTGATTTTGTGATTGATTTTGTGATTGATTGTCTGATTGATTTTGTGATTGATTGATTTTGTGATTGATTGTCTGATTGGTTTTGTGATTGATTGATTGATTTTGTGATTGATTGATTGATTTTGTGATTTATTGATTGATTTTGTGATTTATTGATTGATTTTATGATTGATTTTGTGATTGATTGATTGATTTTGTGATTGATTTTGTGATTGATTTTGTGATTGATTGATTTTGTGATTGATTTTGTGATTGATTGATTGATTTTGTGATTGATTTTGTGATTGATTTATTCCTTCATTCATCTATTTAAATGGATGACTATTAAAAGAGAGTATTTTCCGTGTTATCATACTTTTACCCGACCTCGAGATTCGTTTGATTTATATCAAAGGATCAAACTAGTCTTTTTGTGTTGTGCACAAGGTATCACACATGGAACCTTGGATATTGCCATGTTCCAGGGGAGCAGATGGATAGTGATCGTGGTCCATGGAATATCGAGTGAATTAATTGAATTAAACATATTTTGTTGTAAAATTTTTACAAAAGGACACAAGTTATTTCAACTTATAGCTGCCTTTCCTCAATACATTACAAAACAAAAACATCACAATATCATATCAGTTAAACGTTGGAGAAGGACATTTCTGTGGATATTGTAACGCTGGCATTCAAAGAAAACCGACGATATAGGGAATCATTAAGCGTTATAAATTCACAAAATAAATCTTAGTTTTCTACCTCCCCAAAATCTCTATTTCTTCAATATAACTTTGCTTATAATTATTGTCTTGGCTATTATTGTTACAGTCAATGAAAGTTTCGTATTGTTGACGTAAAATTGACCGAAGGAATTCGAAATTCGATCAACAAAGATGACACAGTTGTTTGAAAGCGATTTCCGGAACACAAATCCAAAGTGTTTCTATGAAATGAGAAACGCTAAAGAAGAAAAACGTTAGTAGTGATTTACATATTTAAATGATTACGGTTTCTGTCCTACAAAGTGCAGTCGTTAAAATCATATAATTTCGTGGGGCCAATTTTTGTTTGTTTGTTTATGTTTATTTGCTTTATATTTTGCTGTCATGCTATTTCGATAAATATAACTCAATAAATATACTCATTCTAATGTCAACATTTCATGGATATAAAGCTATACAGTGTATTTGGTACCATATTAAAGTTTTAAAGGTTTTAATGGTAATTAACTGTTTTAACAATAACTTATCAATAAAACGCATCATTAAAAAAATAACAACATGTAATCTAAAATATTTAAACCTTTGCTGTCCATCGTTTTTTTTTACAACATGCAGACCTAATTAAAACCATGAGGTATTTACCGAATGTCTTGTGGATATTTTTTATCACTGACCAACGATATACATTTGATTCAAATTTGTGCATTAAGATAATTTCAACTAAGGGACGTAACTCCTCAAATCAAGACAGCTAGACTTATAAAATGTAATAATTGTTTGTATTGAAGTAAGAGTATTTGTAGTTCGTCTGTCGTTGATAAGTCGACCAAAGTATAAATTATAAAGCTGCAAATTTTGATATATATGTGTTTTATTCTTTTATAGTAGTAATTGAGGCTTGCCTGCGTGGTTACAGGTTTTTCGTCTCGTTACTCTTTCCATTTCTAGGCGTGGTTTCACCAACGAAGAGCAATCAGCGTTTCCTATATCACTAGAACGAAAGATATATCTCGTTATCCGATGGACAGACAGAAAGTTACAGAAGTATCATAAACAGCTATCTTTAAGGTACGGTTTCACATCTATTTATTCAAACTTATTCATAGACGCAAACTTTTTTTTCTATCAACTTATATGCCTTATTTCATCAAATTGGATAATTAGATAGCAAGAATATTTATGAGATTTGAGCTGTATAATTCTAACAAATACATTGGATGTTTTTAAATTTTTCAAGCAGAGAAATTACAAGGAAAAAAAAAAGACTTTTGAACACGATTATTAACAAAATTGTAAAATATTTTGTTTATTTCCAAAAACTATGAAAACCCAAAACAACAACAAAACAAAAAAAAAAAAAAAAAAAAAAGAAAAAAGGGGGATTTAACATTGAGAAAAGCATTTCAAATAACGTTAATTTTCTTAAGAAAAGCATCCATGTGTTGCGTTCCTGTAGTTAGTATAAGGAAACAAAATACAAATATTTTTTCTTTTCAACGATGATGATGACGAACGTAACCACAGCCTCTTAAATGCAATATTTCATCAAACGTTAGAGTCACAAATATGTTGAAAATTGAAATGAAAAGATCACCTCCGTTGTAGATAAATCAGGTCATGTTGGAGAACGTTCTTCTAAAGTTATTGTTAGTAGTAAGCAAAAGCACAGAGCAACGAGGTGCTTTAACTTAATACGTGATTTTCGGATGTGTCATACGTCTTTAGTGTTTATAAAGTTAGATAATTCTGTAGGGTTGAGATAAAAAAAAATCTTTAATACAACTACTTTTTACAGTATGTTTACCTACCGTACAAGGTAATAAATTTAAAGAAATTTTGCCGGAAGTGCAACCCTACGAATTATGGGATATGTAAGATAAAATCAATAAATCTATATGTGAATGTTGTAAAACGGATTTTTATTTGTCTAAAGAGCTATCAAATTATTGCCTTAAAAGTGTACATTTGACGAAAATATTTTTAAGGGAACAATATTTTCAGCCAAAGGTAAGACTTTCAAACAGATAGTGATAATGTATTTTGTAGTAATACTTCGCTTTCTTGAGTTTCTAGTTCATTGTCTGCATTTAAAAGGTATTCGACCAGTGTGCAAGAATCAAAATATTACCTACGTTTTATTTTCATGTGTTTAATTTCTGATTGTTCTGAAGTTTTGACAAAGTTAAATATTCTAATGTTTAAAGTATGTTAAATAGTCACCCATTTTACGAATCGTTTCCTGATTAATTTAAATTGTTTGCTTGTAGGCTGCTTGCTATTAGTAAAGTTCACATAAGAGAATGTAAATATTTTGTAAAGTATTTTAAATATGATATCAAATCGTTGATCAATCTTTACGCAAAATCCTTCTATTCTTTTTGTGTTGGCACTGCAAGTTTAGACAAACACATAAGTATATACTGCCTGGTGATATTTTTATATAACCTTTTTGGTTACCATATAAAGAGTGAAATAAACCTCAACAATTACGATAAAATATAACACAGTTCTGCTCAAATGTTATTTGACGAGAAACGGGGCTTTGGTGGCCAGGTGGTTAAGGCCTCTGAGGGTCTTTATTACTGGGTGGCGAATTCGAGGCCTACGTGATTTAACCGCCAAGTACAGGCCGCAGGTTGGTGGGTTTTCTCGGATTACTCCGGATTTCCTCCACTAATCAAACCTGACACGTCCTTAAATGGCCATGACTGATAATAGGTCGCACAGTCACAATGAACAAATAATGAAAAGCGGTTCAACAGTTTGATAGCATGACAGTTAGTGAAAACCTTATGGAAAGAACTACCCAATATATTCTGAGAGATGCAGGTTCACAGGTTCATGGGCGCCATCCAAATCTCGTTACATGTTTTTTTCTATTTTCTTTGGCAGTACATAGTTCGATCTGATAGTTGCTTGTTAAAAGTCTGAAAATTTCAGTGGGAAATTGTAATTGTGTAGAATATACTATAACATCTAACCCTCCTGATACGTTCAAGAGTTTCACTGTAAAGTTTTATTTTGTTTAATAATGATATCGACCTTGATGTGTTTAACTTATAAATTGCCATTTATACCAACCGTAGTGATTATAACTCTTCCAATGATGATAAATAGTGGAACTTTCATGTTTTTTTTAACCAATCACAGCGGTTCTTTCTAGTCACTGCATTGCAATTCGACAACTGGAACGCATATGAAGCGAAGGTTGAAGAAATTTTTCCATTAGATAATTTCAGTGTACATTTCAAAATGGCGTCGTGTTGTTGTAAAGCGTAACGTCATAATATCTCATGAAAAAACAATTCGCTTATATTTCCAGATTAAAAAAAAAAACTTTTTGAACACCATTTAAATTTATTGTTTTAATCGATTTTTGTTTGTTTGTTTGTTTGTTTCCCTTCATAAATGTAAAGATCCAAAGGATTTCCACACAAGATATATTATACCAATATTTATCCAGCCTCTAAATCCCTATAAGAAGGATCAACATTTACATTTCAATTAAACATGTTTCCATTAGCCAATAACTTACCCAGTGAAATCGTGATTACGTAATGGGTAGCGCGAGGAAAGCGATAAAGATCGAAATTGTATACTTGTATTTTAATCAAAACAGACTTTAATCTGACACCTTTGTAGTAGAACTACCTGCTTATTACCTGTTTACATACTGACATGTTTGTTTTGGGATGGTCTACTTGGTTAATTTCGATTCACAGATATTTGTTAATGTATGAATGAAATATTAACTTAAAGCATTTTAAGGTGTCACTTTTTTTCTTTAATTTGTAGAAATGATACCCTAAGATAAAACCAAGACGATCCCTTGGATGACAAAATGTTGAAAATTTATGAAGAAAAGCTTATAAATATCAGATTATTTCTTGATGCTAATAGTGAAAATGACTTTTAAATTAAAAAAAAAGTTTGTAACATTGAACAGTTTTAATTTGTTGTGTTTAATTTTGCGATAAGAGGCCGTGTATACATATGTATTTCGTTAAAATGCATATAAAAATGAAAACAGGAGATAAAATAAAATAAAATAAATAAATAAATAAATAGACAAATAAATAAATAAATAGACAAATAAATAAATAAATAAATGCAACAAAGATTTCAAATGTAAAAATCTGCGTATCTGTAGGTATGTAGTAATCATCAATTGCTTTATCATAGGAGTGGAATCTTCAGCTTAAATAACAAATTTAATTATTCATTACGTTATATTGATGTATTTACATAAAAAATATACCTGCTATTATTGTTACAGTCAATGAAAGTTTCGTATTGTTGACGTAAAATTGACCGAAGGAAATTCGAAATTCGATCAACAAAGTTGACACAGTTGTTCGAAAGCGATTTCCGGAACACAAATCCAAAGTGTTTCTATGAAATGAGAAACGCCAAAGAGGAAAAGCGTTAGTAGTGATTTACATATTTAAATGATTACGGTTTCTGTCCTACAAAGTGCAGTCGTTAAAATCATATAATTTCGTGGGGCCAATTTTTGTTTGTTTGTTTATGTTTATTTGTTTTATATTTTGCTGTCATGCTATTTCGATAAATGTAGCTCAATAAATATACTCATTCTAATGTCAACATTTCGTGGATATAAAGCTATACAGTGTATTTGGTACCATATTAAAGTTTTAAAGGTTTTAATGGTAGTTAACTGTTTTAACAATAACTTAACAATAAAACGCATCATTAAAAAAATAACAACATGCCATCGAAAACATTTAAACCTTTGCTGTCAATCGGTTTTTTTACAACATGCAGACCTAATTAAAACCATGAGGTATTTACCGAATGTCTTGTGGATATTTTTTATCACTAACCAACGATATACATTTGATTCAAATTTGTGCATTATAGATAATTTCAACTAAGGGACGTAACTCCTCAAATCAAGACAGCTAGACTTATAAAATGTAATAATTGTTTGTATTGAAGTAAGAGTATTTGTAGTTCGTCTGTCGTTGATAAGTCGACCAAAGTATAAATTATAAAGCTACAAATTTTGATATATATGTGTTTTATTCTTTTATAGTAGTAATTGAGGCTTGCCTGCGTGGTTACATGTTTTTCGTCTCGTTACTCTTTCCATTTCTAGGCGTGGTCTCACCAACGAAGAGCAATCAGCGTTTCCTATATATCCGATGGACAGACAGAAAGTTACAGAAGTATCATAAACAGCTATCTTTAAGGTACGGTTTCCAATCTATTTATTCAAACTTAATCATAGACTCAGTCCTTTTTTTCTATCAACTTTTAATTGTATGCCTTATTTCATCAAATTGGATAATTAGATAGCAAGAATATTTATGAGATTTGAGCTGTATAATTCTAACAAATACATTGGATGTTTTTAAATTTTTCAAGCAGAGAAATTACAAGGAAAAAAAAAGACTTTTGAACACGATTATTAACAAAATTGTAAAATATTTTGTTTATTTCCAAAAATTATGAAAACCCAAAACAAGAATAAAAAAAAAAAAAAAAAAAAAGGATTTAACATTGAGAAAAGCATTTCAAATGACGTTAATTTTCTTAAGAAAAGCATCCATGTGTTGCGTTCCTGTATTTAGTAAAAGGAAACACAATACAAATATTTTTCCTTTTCAACGATGATGATGACGAACGTAACCACAGCCTCTTAAATGCAATATTTCATCAAACGTTAGAGTCACAAATATGTTTAAAATTGAAATGAAAAGATCACCTCCGTTGTAGATAAATCAGGTCATGTTGCAGAACGTTCTTCTAAAGTTATTGTTAGTAGTAAGCAAAAGCACAGAGCAACGAGGTGCTTTAACTTAGTACGTTATCTTCGGATGTGTCATACGTCTTTAGTGTTTATAAAGTTAGATAATTCTGTAGGGTTGAGATAAAAAAAAAACTTTAATACAACTACTTTTTACAATATGTTTACCTACCGTACAAGGTAATAAATTTAAAGAAATTTTGCCGGAAGTGCAACCCTACGAATTATGGGATATGTAAGATAAAATCAATAAATCTATATGTGAATGTTGTAAAACGGATTTTTATTTGTCTAAAGGGCTATCAAATTATTGCCTTAAAAGTGTACATTTGACGAAAATATTTTTAAGGGAACAATATTTTCAGCCAAAGGTAAGACTTTCAAACAGATAGTGATAATGTATATTGTAGTAATACTTCGCTTTCTTGAGTTTCTAGTTCATTGTCTGCATTTAAAAGGTATTCGACCAGTGTGCAAGAATCAAAATATTACCTACGTTTTATTTTCATGTGTTTAATTTCTGATTGTTCTGAAGTTTTGACAAAGTTAAATATTCTAATGTTTAATGTATGTTAAATAGTCACCCATTTTGCGAATCGTTTCCTGATTAATTTAAATTGTTTGCTTGTAGGCTGATTGCTATTAGTAAAGTTCACATAAGTGAATGTTAATATTTTGTAAAGTATTTTAAATATGATATCAAATCGTTGATCAATCTTTACGCAAAATCCTTTTATTCTTTTTGTGTTGGCACTGCAAGTTTAGACAAACACATAAGTATATACTGCCTGGTGATATTTTTATATAACCTTTTTGGTTACCATATAAAGAGTGAAATAAACCTCAACAATTACGATAAAATATAACACAGTTCTGCTCAAATGTTATTTGACGAGAAACGGGGCTTTGGTGGCCAGGTGGTTAAGGCCTCTGAGGGTCTTTATTACTGGGTGGCGAATTCGAGGCCTACATGATTTAGCCGCCAATTACAGGCCGCAGGTTGGTGGGTTTTCTCGGATTACTCCGGATTTCCTCCACTAATCAAACCTGACACGTCCTTAAATGGCCATGACTGATAATAGGTCGCACAGTCACAATGAACAAATAATGATAAGCGGTTCAACAGTTTGCTAGCATGACAGTTAGTGAAAACCTGATGGAAAGAACTACCCAATATACTCTGAGAGATGCAGGTTCACAGGTTCATGGGCGCCATCCAAATCTCGTTGCATGTTTTTTCTATTTCCTTTGGCAGTACATAGTTCGATCTGATAGTTGCTTGTTAAAAGTCTGAAAATTTCAGTGGGAAATTGTAATTGTGTAGAATATACTATAACATCTAACTCTCCTGATACGTTCAAGAGTTTCACTGTAAAGTTTTATTTAGTTTCATAATGATATTGACTTTGATGTGTTTAACTTATAAATTGCCATTTATACCAACCGTAGTGATTATAACTCTTCCAATGATGATATATAGTGGAACTTTCATGTTTTTTTTAACCAATCACAGCGGTTCTTTCTAGTCACTGCATTGAAATTCGACAATTGGAACGCATATGAAGCGAAGGTTGAAGAAATTTTTCCATTAGATAATTTCAGTTTCATTTTGAACACCATTTAAATTTACTGTTTTAATCGATTTTTGTTTGTTTGTTTGTTTGTTTCCCTTCATAAATGTAAAGATCCAAAGGATTTCCACACAAGATATATTATACCAATATTTATTCAGCCTATCAATCCCTATAAGAAGGATCAACATTTACATTTCAATTGAACATGTTTTCATTAATCAATAATTTACCCAGTGAAATCGTGATTACGTAATGGGTAGCGCGAGGAAAGCGATAAAGATCGAAATTGTATACTTGTATTTTAATTAAAACAGACTTTAATCTGACACCTTTGTAGTAGAACTACCTGCTTATTACCTGTTTACATACTGACATGTTTGTTTTGGGATGGTCTACTTGGTTAATTTCGATTCACAGATATTTGTTAATGTATGAATGAAATATTAACTTAAAGCATTTTAAGGTGTCACTTTTTTTCTTTAATTTGTAGAAATGATACCCTAAGATAAAACCAAGACGATCCCTTGGATGACAAAATGTTGAAAATTTATGAAGAAAAGCGTATAAATATCAGATTATTTCTTGATGCTAATAGTGAAAATGACTTTTAAATTTTAAAAAAAAGTTTGTAACATTGAACAGTTTTAATTTGTTGTGTTTAATTTTGCGATAAGAGGCCGTGTATACATGTGTATTTCGTTAAAATGCATATAAAAATGAAAACAGGAGATAAAATAAAATAAAATAAATAAATAAATAAATAAATAAATGAATGAATGCAACAAAGATTTCAAATGTAAAAATCTGCGTATCTGTAGGTATGTAGTAATCATCAATTGCTTTATCATAGGAGTGGAATCTTCAGCTTAAATAACAAATTTAATTATTTATTACGTTATATTGATGTATTTACATAAAAAAATATACTGTATGATAAAAAGAAAGGTCATCCTCATGAAAGGGGGACAAAATGTTTATTTATGGACGTAAAAAGATACTTCTCCCGAAAAAACATCATGACATATATAGGTAGATTTTTAGTAATTTAAAAATATTTCCTTAAACTTCATATATTTATTCAAACAGCATTTATTTCCTTTTTTGTGTTTTAAATATGTTTTATTGTTTATAAACAAAAGAATTGGACACAAGTCATATCATCTCATTTAGTTCTAGATGAATACATACATGAATATTTTACACTAGAATCACGTGAAAACAACACAATATGTAAATTACGAATGAGGAGTGAATAATACAAAAATAGATGATAGGAGAAGATAATAGGAGATAAGGTGCTAGGGATAAATAGGTGAGATAGGGACAGGAAAGATGTAGAACATAGATATGTATTGAATATATACATATAAATATATATGAAATGCTGTCCAACTCTTATTATATTCCTCTATTCCACCCAGTCTAAGTATCAAAGTCTCTAATATTTATTCATTCCATAACATTCCAAGTTTCGCTCAGTTCCTCCTCAGTATTTCCAAACCAATGTACTTTCATCATAGTATTGGAGAGCCAACATAACATAACAGTGAACTTTAAATACGCATATTTTAACAGATAACAATAAAGAAGATATTGAGATTTATTTCATTTCATTCAAGCATACAATAAATATGAACAGATGAATAGAATATAGAATAAGTTAGAAACAAATTGTGAAATTTCAAACACTATGATATAATTTAAAAAATATTATGAAGAAACAAATTTTAAAAATAAGTGTATAGATTGATAAATGAATAAATAAATAAAAAATCCTATAATGTGTAAACTTGCAGTATTACGTATATATTGTACAAGCGTAGATTTATAATTCTTTTTGACTATATTTAAAGATAAATGTAATTATGATTAATTAATTACTTTCTCAATTTTTGAAGTTCAAAAAAGTTGAAATTTGTTTAACATCTACAGTGGCTACCTGAAATTCGGATTTTTTCTTCTTTTTTTTTTTTTATCAAAATCAACTTTTCATTGTACAGGAATTACTGCATATTTCTATCTATTGCATGTAAACACAAATGTGTGTAACATCTTTCAATGCAAATATAGAAGTTACAGTGGAGAATGATATATCAAACAGCACCCTACAACTGTTTTATCCTAGGAGTTGTCAGTAATGCTAGGGTTCAATATTGCATATACCTAGGAAGTGACTGTGAACAGGCAAAATTGCTCGAAAGAAATGTCAAAACATATTAGAATCTAACGAAGATTTTTTGTTTTATGTTTTTTAATGTTGATTCAACTTTTGATCAACATAAACATAAGCTTTAATAAATTAATTGCATAAACTAAAACAGTAAAGATTTTAGTCTAAAAACATTTTATTTATCATTTGAGATTGGAAATTATAATATAATAATCATTTATTAGTTTGGATAATATCTGTTTGCAGATTTCCGCAAGAGAGTGGATTCAGCGATGATCAAACATAATTATCTAGCTGTGATGTTTTCGATTTTCTGTCTTACAACAACAGAGGCTCCCAAACCTGAGGCTACCACAGCTGACACTTCAACTGATGGTACACCAACAACTGCTGCCACAATAGATGTTACCACAACTGAACCTACCACTGCTGAGAGTACCACACCTGAGGTTACCACAACAGAGGCTTCCACACCTGAGGCTACTACAACTGAGGTTACCACAATTGAGTCTACCACATCAGAGGCTACCACAGCTGAAACTTCAACTGATGGTACACCAACAACTGCTGCCATAATAGATGTTACCACAACTGAACCTACCATACCTGCGTCTACCACTCCTGAGACTACCACACCTGAGGTTACCACAACAGAGGCTTCCACACCTGAGGCTACTACAACTGATGTTACCACAATTGAGCCTACCACATCTGAGGCTACCACAGCTGACACTTCAACTGATGGTACACCAACAACTGCTTCCACAATATATGTTACCACAACTGAACTTACCACACCTGCGACTACCACTTCTGAGAGTACCACACCTGAGGCTGCTACAACAGAGGCTACCAAACCTGAGGCTAAAACAATTGAAACTACCACAACTGAGGAAACAACAACTGAGGCTACAACAAGTGAGGCTACAACACCTGAGACTATCACAATTAAGTCTACCACATTTGAGGCTACCACAAGTAAGGCTACCACATCAGAGGCTACCACAGCTGAAACTTCAACTGATGGTACATCAACAACTGCTGCCACAATAGATGTTACCACAACTGAACCTACCACACCTGCGACTACCACTGCTGAGAGTACCACAATTGAGTCTACCACATCTGAGGCTACCACAGCTGAAACTTCAACTGAACCTACCACTGCTGAGAGTACCACACCTGAGGTTACCACAACAGAGGCTTCCACACCTGAGGCTACTACAACTGCTCAACAACTGAGTTACCACAACTGAACTACAACACCACAACTGCAACTACCACTGCTGAGATATAACAACTGAGGCTACACAACTGAGGCTACAACAACTGAGGCTACCACAACTGAGGCTACCACAACTGAGGCTATCACACTGAGGCTACCACAACTGAGGCTACCACAACTGAGGCTACAAACAACACTGAGGCACAACAAGGCTACCACAACTGAGGCTACCAACAACTGAGGCTACAACAACTGAGGCTACAACAACTGAGGTACAATGAGGCTACAACAAGTGCTATCACAAGAGATGCTACCACAACTGAGGCTACAACAACTGAGGCAACAACAAGTGAGGCTACAACAACTGAGGCTATCACAACTGAGGCTACAACAACTGAGGCTACAACAACTGAGGCAACAACAACTGAGGCAACAACAAGTGAGTCTATCACAACTGAAACAACAATAACTGAGGCTACAACAACTGAGGCTACAACAACTGAGGCAACAACAACTGAGGCAACAACAAGTGAGGTTACAACAACTGAGGCTACAACAAGTGATGCTACAACAGGTGAGTATATAACATCTGAGGCTATAACAACTGAGGTTACAACAAGTGAGGCTACAATAAGTGAGTCTATCACAACTGAGGCAACTATAAGTGAGGTAACAACAACTGAGGCAACAACAAGTGAGGCTACAACAACTGACGCCACAACAGCTGAGGCTACAACAAGTGAGGCTTATCACATCTCACCTTACAACAAGTGAGTCTCTCACGACTGAGGCTATAACAACTGAGGCTACAACAAGTGAGGCTCACAACTGAGGCAACTGACAACAAGTGAGGCTACAACAACTGGAGCTACAGCAACTGAGGCTACAACAAGTGAGGCTACTGCAAGTGAGGCTACAACAAGTGTGACTATCAAAACTGAAGCTACAACAAGTGAGGCTACAACAAGTGAGGCTACAAGAACAGAAGCTACAACAACTGAGGCTACCACAACTGAGGCAACAACAAGTGAGGCTATCATAACTGAGGCTATCACAACTGAGGCTACAACAACTCATCCAACAACAACTCAGGCAACAACAACTGAGTCTACAACAACTGAGGCTACAACAAGTGAAGCTACAACAACTGAGGCTACAGCAAGTGAGGCAACAACTCAGGCAACAACAACTGAGGCTACAACAACTGAGGCAACAACAAGTGAGGCTACAACAACTGAGGATACAACAACTGAGGCTACAACAACTGAGGCTATCACAACACAACAAATGAGGCAACAATATCTGAGGCCAAAACAACTGAGGCTACAACAAGCGATGTTATCACAATTGCGGCAATAACAACTGAGGCTACAACAAGTGAGGGTAGAAGTGAGACTACAACAACTGAGTCTACAACAAGTAAGGCTATCACAACTGAGGCAACAACAACTGAGGCTACAACAAGTGAGGCTATCACAACTGAGGCTATCACAACTGAGGCTACAACAAGTGAGTTTACAACAAGTGAGTCTATCACAACTGAGGCTATAACAACTGAGGCTACAACAAGTGAGGCTACAACAAGTGAGTCTATAACAACTGAGTCTATCACAACTGAGGCTACAACAAGAGAGGCTACAACAACTGAGGCAACAACAAGTGAGGCAACAACAACTCATCCAACAACAACTCAGGCAACAACAAGTGAGTCTATCACAACTGAGGCTATAACAACTGAGGCTACAACAAGTGAGGCTACAACAAGTGAGTCTATCACAACTGAGGCTACAACAAGTGAGGCTATAACAACTGAGGCTACAACAAGTGAGGCTACAACAAGTGAGGCTACAACAACTGAGGCTACACCAACTGAGGCTACAACAACTGAGGCTACAACAACAGAGGCTACAACAACTCAGGCAACAACAAGTGAGGCTACAACAAGTGAGTCTATCACAACTGAGGCAACAACAAGTGAGGCTACAACAACTGAGGCAACAACAAGTGAGACTACAACAAATGAGGCTACAACAACTGAGGCTACAACAACTGAGGCTACAACAACTGAGGCTACAACAACTGAGGCAACAACAATTGAGGTTACAACAACTGAGGCTACAACAAGTGAGGCTACAACAAGTGAGGCTACAACAAGTGAGGCTACAACAACTGAGGCTACAACAAGTGAGTCTATCACAACTGAGGCTACAACAAGTGAGTCTACAACAGAAGAGTCTATCACAACTGAGGCTACAACAACTGAGGCTACAACAAGTGAGTCTACAACAAGTAAGGCTATCACATCTCAGCCTACAACAAGTGATGCTACAAGTGAGTCTATAACAACTGAGGCTTTAACAACTGAGGCTACAACAACTGAGGCTACAACAACTGAGGCTACAACAAGTGAGTTTACAACAAGTGAGGCTATCACAACTGAGGCTATAACAATTGAGGCAACAACAAGTGAGATTACAACAAGTGAGGCTACAACAAGTGAATATATCACAACTGAGGCTACAACAAGTGAGGCTACAACAAGTGTGACTCTCACAACTGAGGCTACAACAAGTGAGGCTACAACAAGTGAGGCTACAACAACTGAGGCTACAACAACTGAGGCTACACCAACTGAGGCAACAACAACTGACGCCACAACAACTGAGGCTACAACAAGTGAGGATACAACAACTGAGGCAACAACAAGTGAGGCTACAACAACAGAGGCTACAACAACTCAGTCAACAACAAGTGAGACTACAACAAGTGAGGCTACAACAACTGAGGCTACAACAACTGAGGCAACAACAAGTGAGGTTACAACAAGTGAGTCCATCACAACTGAGGCTACAACAACTCAGGCATCAACAAGTGAGGCTATCACAACTGAGGCAACATCAACTGAGGCAACAACAAGTGAGATTACAACAAGTGAGGCTACAACAAGTGAATATATCACAACTGAGGCTATAACAACTGAGGCTACAACAAGTGAGGCTACAACAATTGAGTCTATAACAAGTGAGTCTATCACAACTGAGGCTACAACAAGTGAGGCTACAATAAGTGAGTCTATCACAGCTGAGGCAACAACAAGAGAGGCTACAACAACTGAGGCAACAACAAGTGAGGCAACAACAAGTGAGGTTACAACAACTGAGGCAACAACAAGTGAGGCTACAACAATTGAGGCAACAACAACTCAGGCAACAACAACTGAGTCTACAACAACTGAGGCTACAACAAGTGAAGCTACAATAACTGAGGCTACAACAACTGGAGCTACAGCAACTGAGGCTACAACAAGTGAGGCTACTGCAAGTGAGGCTACAACAAGTGTGACTATCAAAACTGAAGCTACAACAACTGAGGCTACAACAAGTGAATCTATCACAACTGAGGCTATAACAACTGAGGCTACAACAAGTGAGGCTACTGCAAGTGAGGCTACAACAAGTGAATCTATCACAACTGAGGCTATAACAAGTGAGTTTACAACAAGTGAGGCTATCACAACTGAGGCAACATCAACTGAGGCAATTACAACTGAGGCTATCATAAGTGAGGCTACAACAACTGAGGCTACAACAAGTGAGGCTATAACAACTGAGGCTACAACAAGTGAGGCTACAACAAGTGAGGCTACAACAAGTGAGGCTATAACAAGTGAGTTTACAACAAGTGAGGCTATCACAACTGAGGCTATAACAATTGAGGCAACAACAAGTGAGTCTATCAACAACTGAGGCTACAACAACTGAGGCTACAACAACTGAGGCTACAACAACTGAGGCTACAACAACTGAGGCTACAACAACTGAGGCTACAACAAGGCTACAACAACTGCTACAACAACTGGCTACAACAACTGAGGCTACAACAAGTGAGGCTACAACAACTGAAGCAACAACAACTGAAGCAACAACAACTGAAGCTATCAACAACTGAGGCTACAACAAGTGAGGCTACAACAACTGAGGCTACAACAACTGAGGCTACAACAACTGAGGCCAAAACAACTGAGGCTACAACAAGTGAGGCTACTGAGGCTACAACAAGTGAGGCTATAACAAGTGAATCTATCACAACTGAGGCTATAACAACTGAGGCTACAACAAGTGAGTTTACAACAAGTGAGGCTATCACAACTGAGGCTATAACAATTGAGGCAACAACAAGTGAGTCTATCACAACTGAGGCTACAACTGAGGCTACAACAAGTGAGGCTACAACAACTGAGGCTACAACAACAACTGAGGCTACAACAAGTGAGGCTACAACAAGTGAGGCTACAAGGCAACAACAAGTGAGGCTACTATCTACACAACTGAGGCCAAAACAACTGCGGCAACAATAACTGAGGCTATAACAAGTGAGGCTACAATAACTGAGACTACAACAACTGAGGCTACAATAAGTGAGGTTATCACAACTGCGGCAACAACAACTGAGGCAACAACAAGTGAGGCTACAACAAGTGAGTCTATCACAAATGAGGCAACAATAAGTGAGGCTACAACAACTCAGTCAACAATAAGTGAGAATACAACAAGTGAGGCTACAACAACTGAGGCTACAACAACTGAGGCAACAACAAGTGAGGCTACAACAACTGAGGATACAACAACTGAGGCTACAACAACTGAGGCTACAACAAGTGAGGCTACATCAAGTGAGGCTACAACTGAGGCTACAACAACTGAGGCTACAAAAAGTGAAGGTACAACAACTGAGGCTACAGCAAGTGAGGCAACAACTCAGGCAACAACAAGTGAGGCTACAACAACTGAGGCTACAGCAAGTGAGGCTACAGCAACTGAGGCTACAACAACTGAGGCAACAACAAGTGAGGCTACAACAACTGAGGTATCACAACAACTGAACAACAAGTGAGGCAACAACTGAGGCTACAACAACTGAGGCTACAACAACTGAGGCAACAACAAGTGAGGCTACAACAACTGAGGATACAACAACTGAGGCTACAACAACTGAGGCTACAACAAGTGAGGCTAGAACAACTGAGGCTACAGCAAGTGAGGCTACAACAACTGAGGCAACAACAACTGAGGCAACAACAACTGAGGCAACAACAACTGAGGCTACAACAAGTGAGGCTACAACAACTGAAGCAACAACAACTGAAGCAACAACAACTGAAGCAACAACAACTGAGGCAACAACAAGTGAGGCTACAACAACTGAGGCTATAACAACTGAAACTACAACAACTGAGGCTACAACAACTGAGGCTACAAAAAGTGAGGCTACAACAACTGAGACTACAACAACTGAGGCTACATCAAGTAAGGCTACAACTGAGGCTACAACAACTGAGGCAACAACAACTGAGGCAACAACAAGTGAGGTTACAACAACTGAGGCAACAACAAGTGAGGCTACAACAATTGAGGCAACAACAACTCAGGCAACAACAACTGAGGCAACTACTGAGGCTACAATAACTGAGGCAACAACAAGTGAGGCTACAACAGGCTACAACAAGGCTACAACAACTGAGGCTACAACTACAACAAACTGAGGCTACAACAACTGAGGCTACAACAAGTGAGGCTACAACAACTGAGGCTACAACTACACAACTGAGGCTACAACAAGTGAGGCTACAACAACTGAGGCTAACAACAACTGAGGCTACAACAACTGAGGCTACAACAACTGAGGCTACCACAACAGAGGTTACTACAACTGAGGCTACAACAACTCAGGCTACAGCAAGTGAGGCTACAACAACTCAGGCTACAAAAAGTGAGGCTACACAACTGAGGCTACAACAACTGAGGCAACAACAAGTGAGGCTACAACAACTGAGGCTACAGCAAGTGAGGCTACAACAACTGAGGCTACAACAACTGAGGCAACAACAAGTGAGGCTACAACAACTGAGGATACAACAACTGAGGCTACAACAACTGAGGCTACAACAAGTGAGGCTACAACAACTGAGGCTATAACAACTGAGGTTACAACAAGTGAGGCTACAATAAGTGAGTCTATCACAACTGAGGCAACTATAAGTGAGGTAACAACAACTGAGGCAACAACAAGTGAGGTAACAACAAGTGAGGCTACAACAAGTGAGGCTACAAGAACAGAAGCTACAACAACTGAGGCTACAACAACTGAGGCTACAACAAGTGAGGCTACAACAAGTGAGTCTACAACAAGTGAGTCTTTCACAACTGAGGCTACAACAAGTGAGGCTACAACAACTGAGGCTACAACAACTGAGGCTACAACAAGTGAGTCTATCACAACTGAGGCTATATCAACTGAGGCTACAACAACTGCGGCTACAACAAGTGGGGCTATCACACCTGAGGCTAACAACAACTGCGGCTAGAACAAATGTGACTATCAAAACTGAAGCTACAACAAGTGAGGCTACAACAAGTGAGGCTATAACAAGTGAATCTATCACAACTGAGGCTATAACAACTGAGGCTACAACAAGTGAGGCTACAACAAGTGAGGCTACAACAACTGAGGCTACAACAAGTGAGTCTATCACAACTGAGGTTACAAGTGAGGCTACAATATGTGAGTCTATCACAACTGAGGCTACAACAACTCAGGCATCAACAAGTGAGGCTATCACAACAACAACTGAGTCTACAACAAGTAAGGATACAACAACTGAGGCAACAACAAGTGAGGCTACACCACCTGAGGCAACAACAACTGACGCCACAACAACTGAGGCTACAACAAGTGAGAGTATCACACCTGAGGCTATAACAACTGAAACTACAACAAGTGAGGCTACAAGACCTGAGGCTACAACAACTGAGGCTACAACAACTGAGGCTACAACAAGTGAGGCTACAACAACTGAGGCTACAACAACTGAAGCAACAACAACTGAAGCAACAACAACTGAGGCAACAACAAGTGAGGCTACAACAACTAAGGCTACAGCAAGTGAGGCTACAGCAACTGAGGCTACAACAACAGAGGCTACAACAACTGAGGCTACAACAACTGAGGCAACAACAAGTGAGGCTACAACAAGTGAGGCTACAACAACAGAGGCTACAACAACTGAGGCTACAACAACTGAGGCAACAACAAGTGAGGCTCTCACAACTGAGGCTTTCACAACTGAGGCTACAATAACTGAGGCTGCAACAACTGAAGCTACAATAAGTGAGGTTATCACAACTGCGGCAATAACAACTGAAGCTACAACAAGTGAGTCTATCACAACTGAGGCTACAACAACTGAGGCTACAACAACTGAGGCAACAACAAGTGAGGCTATCATAACTGAGGCTATCACAACTGAGGCTACAACAAGAGAGGCTACAACAACTGAGGCAACAACAACTGAGGCAACAACAACTGAGGCTACAACAACTGAGGCTACAACAAGTGAGGCTACAACAACTGAGGCAACAACAACTGAGGTAACAACAATTGAGGCTACAACAATTGAGGTTATCACAACTGTGGCAACAACAATTGGGACTACCAAGTCGGATATAACCACAACAAAGACTACCACTAATGAGGCTGTTACAGCTGATTTTACCACAACTGAATCTGCAAGTGATGGTACATCAACAACTGTTACTACAATAGATGCTATCACTCCTGAGACTACCACAACTGCGGATGCTCCAACAACTGGTACGCCAACAACTGGTGCTCTAACAACTGATGCTCCAACAACTGGTGCTCCAACAACGGACACCGTCACGGAAACAACAGGTAAGTTTACTCGTTGTTTCTATTGTTTGCCCTCACACTATATCTATTGATAATTCATCTACACTCTTTAGCCTTTGATTGATTGTTTCTTTGGTATGCCGCCCCATGAGCAAATAAAGCCATTTTGAGATACGATCTCCTTGTAGTAGCTGATGGTTACCTATGTGAACAAGACATGGTGGGCTCGGCCTCAACCATCCATAATACTTAGGGTAAAGTGTCGTATCCTGGAACAAAACGACCATAGAACACAGACCTGTCATTTTGTCAGATTTCTGAGAAGCCTATATCATCAATTCCATATTCTGAAACACCTGATCATATTCCCTATATATTTCCACAATCATGTATGTGTAAATATTACCTTATACATTTTCTTATCCTTGCACCATAAACACGGTATCACCCGGGCCATCGACCCAGTTATTGACATTCTTAAAAGCTATTTCGGTTTTTATTACAGATGTAATCCAAATAATGTGTTCTTTATGGTGGCGATCAATTCTTGTGGTTTATTATTACGTGGAGTGCATGTACTAATAAATTATTTCTTTCTCTGTCAACACTTCCTCCTTCAGCTGTGATTTAGTAGCTGGGATTTTTGTTTGGGTTTGTGTAATCTAATTTAGTTGTAGTTAAACGTTTGTCGTCTTGGCTTCCAGGATAAGTTATTATTCTTAGCTAGTACATGTGATTATGTGCTTGGCTTTAAAGTTTGAAGAACATTTTAGTAACGAATTTATTTATATGTCGATCTTCGTTCTTGGTTAATACAATCATCATTTTGGCTTCTTGGTTCACTCGTTCATTCCATTATTCCTTCGTCGTTTCTTCCTTCCTCTCTTCCTTTCTTCCTTCCTTCACTCCACCCTCCCTCCTTCCCTCCCTTCGTTCCTTTCTTCCTCCCTCCCTCCCTCTCTCACTTCCTCCCTTCGTTCCTCCCGCCCTCCCGTCCTTCCTCCTTCCCTCCCTTCGTTCCTTCCTCCCTCCCTCTCTCACTTCCTACTTTCCTTTCGTTCCTTCCTTCCTCCCTCCCTTCCGTCCTTCCTCCCTACTTCTTTCTTTCCTTCTTTCCTTCCTTCCTTTATGACCTATTACCTATTTAACATACATTGCTTGTTCGTATTTCGTCAACTTCAACAGTTTAGATATATATTTACAACAGTTTAATATCAAATCTTTCAATCTGTTTCGTTTCATTTATTGTTATTATAGTTTGAATCTTAATTGTTTCGAAATGATGGCATAGTGTCCTTTGTTTGATTATTTTTACTCCAGGCTAATAGGTAAGTGCAGTAAAAAGGCAGGGTAGAAATAAACATTACAGTAATGATATATATCATGTAGTATTATCACTTGGATCGTTTAATTTCTAACTTATTAGGGCCCAGCACGAAAGTGTGGGTACCCTTTAGTAACCACGGTGTCCGTCCGTCCGTCTGTCTGTCTATCAGCACTTTTGTTTCCGTGCGATAACATCAGGTTCCTTGGTCTGGTCAAGCTCAAACTTAATACAGTGCTTCCTGACTGAAAGTGTTTGCCTGTGATTGTTTTTCAGCTTCAAAGTTCAAGATCACTGTTACTTTAAGTAGGAAATTAGTTTCCGTGTAAAAACTAGAGTTTGCTTTCGGCCAATCTAACCCAAACTTCATACAGTACTTCCTTGTTGAAAATGTTTATTTAGGAATGCATTTCAGATTTGAACGTAAAGGGTCAAGGTCACTGTTATAATAATTAAAACAAAGTCAGTTTCTCCGCTATAACTCAACTTTGCTTTGGCAAATCAAACTCAAACCTCGTATCATACTGTCGGATTGCTTTTCTTTATTTCCAACAACATAGAGGGGCCCGTGCTGACCTGTCATTGTGCTGGTTATGTTGCAAATGAAGTTTGATAGAAGAGTGCTAGAATATTAAAACAGCTATATTATCCAGCCGAATTCATTATTTTGTTCTACTGTGTTTAATTCTTAATGTGTATTGAAAGGTTCTATTTACTGGTGTGTCCTGGGAACATGGAGGGTTGTAAGATTTATTATGGGTCTTGGAGTAGTCTCTCAATCTTCAAACATGACTGATGTTCTTGATTTCCACCCAAGTGCTTGCCATATAATGTTAAACTCCTTATGAAAATTTATAGCTACTGTAATGTTCCAGACAAACCCAACTTTGTATCAACGTTGGTTTTAATCATTAATCGTTGTGTACACCTATCCTATATACAATAGGAAGTATGTATTACCTTCGATTTAAAAACAGGTAAAGGGATGCAATCTCTTTAACACGAGTATAATTGTTCTTTGTAGGTAGATTGTGTTATGTAATTTTTGTTTTATCTTGTGTGTTCTTTATTAGAGGACGTTTCTGTGTAGCTGTGTACCCTTTGCAGACCTATCTTACTTTCGGGTTAGCCTTCTGTCAGTCTTAAATTATTTAAATATTTACATGTGACCAACCACAGCTTCACCCCAATATCTCCGTTAGCGAATATTTTGTAGTCGTAGCGACAAAGAATTCGTGTAGTGTTATCGAATTGACACATCGTCTATCTGAACATGTATTAGCCTTTATCACAACATCTGTAGGTATCATATTTAAGAAATGCAGAAATATTATTACGGACCATTTACAACAGGTATTAATCAAATTTATTTTATGAACAAAATATGGGCAAGTGAAACTGATTCATTTTAAATACGATATATATATATTTGAAAAGAATGAAATCAATACAGCAAATGTATTCCGCTAACTTTATTATAACAATACATTTATGTCACAATGTAGGTTACTAAGTAACGTACAGTGTACATGTAATGTAAGCACCTGAAGATGGACGCGAGGCCTGAAAGCGTTAGTGATATATTTGTTTGTCATGTTAAGTGATTAATTTTCTCTCTCTCTCTCTCTCTCTCTCTCTCTCTCTCTCTCTCTCTCTCTCTCTCTCTGTCTCTCTCTCTGTCTGTCTGTCTGTCTGTCTCTCTCTCTCTCTGTCTCTCTCTCTCTCTCTCTCTCTCTCTCTCTCTCTCTCTCTATATATATATATATATTACAAGCGCGTGTTTTATTTATCTTCTAAGTAGGTCAGGGATGTAAAAGTGATAATACAGAAGATGTAGAATGGAATGCCACTAGCAGAGGCTCTTGGGTAACGATGCCGTGTCCCAAGAATTATGGAGGTAAAATCTTTTAAAAATTAATGATGCAAATATTTAAGCTCTACTTTTCCAGACAAATACAAGCTTTTGATTCAAAACAAAATTTTGATTGATCAACTGAATTATTACTACAATTTTTCTTAAGGTCAACAAGACCAAACAGGTCTGAAGGGTTACGGAAAGCAAAAAGCAACTACTGTAAGGAATGAAATGGATAATGATATTTGGATATGCTTCATTTAAACTTTTGACATAGAATAACCTTTTTCACACCACAAATCAATAAACTAGCAAAAGGCATTACAGATACGGACCAAAGAGATAAACGAAATGTTTCTCCGCAACTTTGAATTTTAAATCTTAATCTTTAAAGTTAAGTTAAACTGATGTTCTTTTTGTAGGCACCATCAAACGCTTTTGTAATACTGATGGCGATTGGGATGATCCGGATATGAATGACTGTATGAGAAAGGCATTTAATGACACATTAAATGCAGTAAGTGTAATTTATCAGAGAAACAGCATATTGGTAGTTCATCATTTGAGAAAAGAGGTTCAAACAACACGTTGACTAACAAATGATACAAAAGTTCTTTATCTAGCCAAATTTTCAGTAAATAAAACGTGAATGATATAAAAATAGGAATGACAAATTATCAATTGTTGAAATCCATTAAAAACCTAATTATAATTTTTTTTAAATATGAGACTTTTTTAAATTAAAAGATGTAAATCAAGAATTGACTTGCTTCATTGTCAATTTTATCGGGGAATAGCTACAACATGATCTCGGATAAATTAGATACTGTAAGTCAATTAAATTTCGTGACTATTTTATTTCGTGAACTTACATCTTCAGACATTCGAAATCATATATAACGCCGATCTAGAAATTACTTCGCGAATATTGGGTTATTAGATACATTTCGGTAACCGAATCAGCATGGATGTAATTAAGAAGTATTACTGTACAAATTATCGCGACGGATTTTAATTTCTACATCAGTTATTATTTCCTGATAATTTAAAATAAAAAAGCTAATTGTGATACAGTTTTTCATTGTCCATACCTGATAGCTCCATTGTCATCAATTTCAAAGCTTTCAGACTCAATAAAAAAACAAGCATTTGGTTTGCAGGTCTCCAAGCCTATCCACTCCTTGAACAACAAATTTTAGAATGTAATATACTTATATCACAGTTCTAATGCTTATATTATTGAAATTTCGTAAAACAAACCTGCATTAGTCTTAAGAAAAAGTGAACCAGCACTATAGTGAATTTGAATTCATCATTTGACTCTACTTATCTAAATTGATATCAATTGATGCTATTCACTTGCGTGTCTTTTGTGTACAATCTAAAGTTTAAAAGCTTTTACAATGTATCTTAAACGAACTATATGTTCCAGAGGCATTTTAAACTGCTCTAAATTCAAGCTAACATTGTGTTACGAAAATATTTTGCTGGGAACCATTCATTTATATCATTACGCATGCATATTACGATATTGGAAAATGGTTATTTATTTAATTCCTAGGATCAATCTTTGTATTTTAATGTAGAACTTTGACAGGTATCAAACTGTATGCTTCTTATTACAAGATATAGACCAATGATAATCAAGAAAACAATAATTAAATGAATAGATAAAGATACGAATAAATATGAATAAATAAATAAACTATGTTACCTGAAGATGTTAATTTGTAAACCTATCCATACTGATTTTTATTTCAGCTCAATAAGACCAATTTAACTGCAACTGAAATCGAATCTTCTGTTAACAACGCTGTACACAATATCAACGAAGTCATTTCCAATGATACTGAACCACAGATGACTACTGGAGAACTGAAACAAACGACTGCCATCTTAGATCTCATCACCATTCTTGTCAAGAATAACAGTGGTGTCAATGTTACAAATGAAACTACACAGGCATTAATCGTTTCCAACATAGATCAGGACTATTGATAACAACAATACCATGCATTCAGACTAATGACTAATGAAGTTATTTTCAACCCTTTCTTTTGCATTCTACTTCATACAGACAAATTAGAATATATGTTCACAGTCTCGCTTAATGAAATTCTGCATTGCAGGCTGTGTCTCGATATTGTTTTAATTTCCTCTCAAGATAAAGGAGTATAAGAACATCAATGACACGAGGGTTTTTTTATGATATGAGCTCTTTATGATATTGTGATGCCTTTTATTATGTCCTATTAGCAAGAAACTCCAACTAAGTATCCAATATACAACACTAACAACACGAGGGGTGTGGATCACCCATTATTTATGAATTTAAGCTCATAACAAATAAATTCTCTTATTTCCACAGAATTTTTTCGGTATCCTTGATCACATTCTGTCAGTCGATTACAGCGAAAAATGGGCGAAAGTAGAAATTGACGTAAGTGATACTACAAATTTTATTAGAAAAAATATTCAAAATGTTTCATTACCATTTTTAGCTCAATCAGTTTCTTTACTTAATTGATTATTTTGAAGGGCAAAAAAGGAACAGGCGTTTCCAAGCTCATGCTGACCGTAGAAATATTTGGTGCAGCCTTAGGTCAACGCTTGAACGACACAAGTCTTATAAGAATTGATACAATGGAAAATATAGGTAAGAAATGCGTACACATTGGTAACATGTAATATACTACTATATGCGGTAATATAAAGATTGTGTACAACTCATTATCTAAGATTGAGAAATAACAGTAACGTCTTTTGGTTTGGGTTGTTACAGTCATTGAAATTGGCAGAGTAAGCAACACCGGAATACGTTTCTCTGCTGATGATTCTTCAAATGACGGAAGTGCAGGAAAACTTAACATTGATTTATCGTTAGAAGAGTTCAGTAAACAGAGTAAGTTATCTATTTCAACAATATATTGCTTTGATAACAAAACCTTTCACCTTTGTATGGTTAAATCCACACCTCCTTATAAAATAGTAACTTGAACACATATCTCCCATTTTCCGTCCTCCATGTCTTTGTTTGTCTATCAAAAATTAAATTTTCAATAGTTTTGTTTATCATATATACAAATGATGTACTAAATATGTTATAGAACATTGTAATAGGATGTAACATATTCTTTATCAACCTTTTTCAAGGAGGTAGGGCTTTCTGTTCTTAAATTTTACTTTGGTCATAATTTTGTTTGTGATGTTTTACTGTTCTGTTCAATTTCAATTTCAGTTTGTATGCTGTTTTATCAATGCACTATCCTAATACTTTAATATTGTTTTTGTGTTGTTTTATTGAAATGTAATGTGAAAAATAACATTAATTGAATTTTTTTTATTCACAAAATTGATAATTTGTCTTTCAAGTCCTTTTAACATTCACATATTATTTGATGAAAAATTTGTCTAGGTAAAAAAAAACAACAAAAAAAACCAAGAAAATTCCAACATGTCAACATAACCATAATCCAAATCCAAATTCAATAAAACTAAGGGTAAATACGAAGAAAATGAAGATTTACACGGAGACTACGAAAAAATACTTGGAGAATAAGAGCAGGTGTTTTGGAAGAGTAAGCGTCTGCTGCTTTATCGATGACACCCGCCATATAAATCTTGGTCGATCCAAGTAAGTAATGTTGCGTTCTCAAATAAGACCAAGGTATACAGGTCATTAAGTAAGTTTTACATTTCTACCTTATTTCAAATTCCGGTCGATTAGATCGAAGGGTTACACAACCTAAGATGGAGATATTTTGAAAAGTATAGTAAATAAAGTAACAAGTGTGTATTAAACTAGAATAAATTTTAGAATGCTTAAATTGAAAATAAAATATTCTAGAGAAAAAAACATATTTTTGTTTATTTTTCAGTCAAGGGAGATAACAATCATGGCATCAATTAAAAATGTACTTTTACTTTTTTCTTTTATTTTTCAGGTAACCAAACATTTGTAGCAGCGGTGTATAGAACAATAGCAAAAGCTTTGGCTAACAGCAGGTTGTCTATTTTCTATAGTGACAAAGAATATTTTCATTGTCCATTCTTTTTCGAGTGATTATTTACTATAAATCTACTCTTTATAATGGAAATTTTTTTAACTTAGCCACCAAGCTCTGTAAAAATTTAAAATGCTGATGCCGTTCCTACAAGCGCATATACGAGTATAATAACATCGTTAATGATATAATGATATAATGCAATCAATTTTAATTTTGAAAAAACAAGTCTTAGGTGTTTTACCACCCAACATTTGATAACTGATTGTTTTAGCAGCTATTTTATTCATAAAATTAATGTGATTTGTTTACAGCACAGAGGAAATTTTCTCTCAGGTTTTGTCACTTTCTGTGCCTGATATAAATACCTCTGTTCTGACAGATCCGGTCAAATTAACCTTTAATACCATTGAGGTTTGCAGACATTTTATACGATTTTATTTTACCTCATTTTGAATTTAGCACTTGAAATGGAATTTATATGATGAAATATTTCTACATTCTAACAATTGACGAGCCATCTGAATGTCAAATTGTGCAAAATTTCATCTCATGAATGAATTACAAAAAGACTTACGGTTTATTGCACACTGTATTGCAATAGTTTAGAAATTGAATATTTTTTTCAATCATATTTTCAATAAATGGAATAGAATGAAAATTGAAAAAAAAAAAAATAATAAATGAAAAAAAAAAAAAAAAAAAATAAAAAAATAAATTAATTAAAAAAGTAAAAATTTAATCAAAATTGTACGATGACATGGTATTTTAATTCTTTTTATTTTATTTTATTTTATTATTATTATTATTTTTTTTTTTTTTTTGCAAATGTAGAGTGAAGCTGCTGCTGAATGTGTCTTTTGGGACTTCACTATTGAAAGGTAATCATTATCCAGAACGTGAAAAACCCAAAATGTAAAATAAAATTATGTCAAGAAACTAGTGGCAGTTTGTGTCTATGTGTGCACATTTTCTAAATGGTAAAGTTTATGTAGTATTATTTTATCCTTTTTCTCAGTCACAAAATTAAAAAAAAAAATGTTTTTTCATGTCCCGGTCTGCAACTTACTTTTGAATTCAAATAAGGAAGTCGTCATCATTTTAAAATCATAATTTTCCCAATATAAGATGTGCATATTGGGAATTCCGCGGAAAAAAACCAAAACAAAACAAAAATGCATGAAGGCATGGCCAATTATCCATGGCTGATTTTTGTTCACTTGATAGACGACAACAAAAAATTAGTATCCGAGAATGGATTGGTTGGCTATATTTTATATCTTTGGGAATGTTTGACACGTAGAAATGTTTATTAAGAAAAAATACCCAAATTTGCAAATGAAACGAATACTCCTAATATTTTATAATGAATGAATTTAGTCATTTTTTATTTCTTTTGGTAAGTGTCATAAGTTATAGTAACAAAACAACAAAAGACGCACAAGTAAACAGCATCTCTAAATTCTAATTTAGAATTAAGTACTATAGAGTCAAACGACGACTGATACCTGTTTCTTTCTTCAACGTCTCATGAGTGATGGTAGGGGTCTAAATTTTAAAGCCTAGGGAGCGAATGGTAATCAAAAGAAAAGACAAAACATCGATCAGGATGTGCACAAGTCCCATAATTAGATAAATTTCGCAATCGTAATATAGCTGTTAATTTTTTAACAAAATCAAGTACATGTGTATATGCATAACATTACCACTATTTGAATTAATTAAAGCCTAGCATGCAGTTTACGGCAAACCTAGGGAACTGAAAGTCCACGAGCAGCATTCTCAACCTGGAATCTCGAAGTTTGTACAAAAACACTGGAAATGCTAAAAACAAATAAATAAAATTTAACAATTTTAGATTTCGCATGCAGTGATGATATTTTAGAGAAGCTATATATCATCATAGAACAGTAATAATAACTTTGGCTGAAATCTTATTTATCTATGACTGTATACTTCAAAAGGCGGCGATATGATAAAGTCGTATCCATGATATCATTAGAAAAGAATCCAGTGTTTTGAAGATATTGATTTTTCAATCAATTTAAGGATGTATCTTACAACAAGCAGGATCTTTAAAGTTTTTTTTTGGTAATAATGAAAAAATCAGTACCGAATGTGTGTACATCATGTAAAAAACAAAACAAAGAAAAAAACATACCTATATAATAGAGAGAATAGATTTATATCAGAATAGAATATATCTAACATATGTTATTGGTAATTTTATTTTAGTTGGTCCACGAAAGGATGTAATCTAATCGGCGACCACTGTTCATGCTATCATCTTACTAACTTTGCAGTTCGTTTAAGTCCACCATCTTCGGTAAGTCGGTCACTTGGCTATTTTAAGTTCATGTTAAAAATGGGCACAGACGTCCATTGTTTCAAAGCATTAACGTCTTTCAAACTTTTAAGGTTGTCAGGCTATGAAAGCAAAGATACTAACATAGAACGAGCCATAAATGTTACAATGTACGAAAACAACATGGGAAAATACCGATATTTTAAAATCTTAATTAAAACTAAACTTCAACAAAACTAGGGCAAAATATAAAGCAAAGAAAGGACAAGGAGAATAGATCAAGGTGTTCTGGAAGGGTACGCGTCTGCTGCTTCCTGGACAACAACCAACATGTAATAAAATGTTGCACAAAGAAATAGAAAATTCTAAATGCGATTATCATGACGTTTGTTAAACTTCCCCATTCATTTTAATGGTTTAAGAGTTTTTAGTCTATCGATTGTTGATTATCTTCCACACAATTAGCAATACCAAAATATTTATAAATACATATTAGTAGCAACAAAAATACACGTTTGTTATGTAACATGTTTAAACTTTATGTTTATCTCTCCCAAACTCTCAAATTCAAAACAAATTTTACAGATATATGTGACCTAATGCAAAATTCAAAGACAAGAGAAGCCTCCGATTAAGGTGTTTGTGGCAAGCATTAATCTGTTCCAATGATGATTTTTTTTAGGATTATGTTCTTAGAATAATCAGCTACATTGGATGTATTTTGTCATCAATATCAACGCTCGTCACAATGGCTGTATATTTCAGACTGTGGAGGTAAACACGTCAGTTTTTTTAGCTTTTCTAATACTATCTCTTTATGACGACGTAACGGAACGGTAAAATAATAAAGTGACCATTAAATAAATGATACCAATAATGATAAAGAAAGAAAGGATGGAAGAAAGAAATAAAGAAAAGATGAATAAATAAATAACATAAAATAAAAGAAAAAACAAAAATCAAGTAGTGTGTTACTATCATATATAATCTAAAATCAATATTCTTTTGAGGAATTTTTTCCCGATCGACCTACAAATATTATAAGATATCATATTTCTACAACAAATATCGTTACAAATCTAGAATTTTCTCTTTGAAAAAGGTATGTAAAAAGTGATAGAACCTGGCTGTTGATGAATCTTTGCTCGGCCCTAACAGTTACTTACCTGTTGTTTCTGGGCGGTATAAACAGCACTCATGACGACGTAAGTAGTGACAATACAAAATGCCATCTGACAAAAACTATTAAGAATGTAAATGACTTATTACTTGAAATAACAATTATTTCTTAACTCTTTAAGTGCAGACTGTAATTTTAATAAGGGAATTATTTCCGTATGTTAACGTTGCACAAACAATTATAACCTTCAGTTTTTATAGATTGGAAACCGTTGGTCTAATAATGTTGCAAAATGAAGAAAATTGCGTTGTTTACTGGACATTTAGATATAAAGTATTTTGAAGCCATCTTCTTTCTTAAAACTTGTTTAAGTTTGAAAATAGGAAATACAAGATGAGATAAGTATTAGTCGATTTTGCTTGCTGTACACAAATATGCATCTTGACAACACTATTTATGATGATGTATATATATATTTATATATTTTCCGACAGAATCTATGTACTGCAATAGCTGCACTCCTTCACTATTTTGTCCTTGTGACCTTTTTTCTGATCCTTGCTGAGAGTTTCGATATTCTCATCACCTTGAAAGCTGTCTTTGAATCAAAGTCAAAATTGAAGTGGTATCTTCTATTTGGATGGGGTAAGAAAAATCCATTTGTTATCTTATATTGTATCAAATTACTACTGTGGAGTTAAAGTTATTTAAATTGTGTCCGATCAGATCATGCATGTTACACGAAGATTTTATCAAACATACTGACAGGAGACTTCAGAAAGGTATACAAGAAAAAATAAAGACGAAACGACGAACATTTCAAATGTAAATAAGTAATTTGCAAAAATACTAATTTGTTCCGATGTATCCATTTTTGCTATTTTCATTAGGAGTGCCGGTAGCTGTTGTAGCAGTGACAATTGGAATAACACATGCCAACGAATATCACTCGGAATTGAAGTAAAGACATACTTAAATTATCATACTCGCATGATACGCAAATTTGATAGGAAACACAGTTTTCTTGTGTCAATAAAAATCCGTTATACATTTCTTTTTTGCATTTATACTTTTTCGAACTGTCTCTCATTGACAAGATTTATGAGAAAGTATTTCATGTGTATATCTTTCATGGAGAGAATTATAGAAAAAGTAAATTGACCAAGAAAATACGAAATATATCGAAGTAAGAAACGTGCTGAGTTGTTCAATTTCACACTGACTACTTTTAATAGTTTGGTTAACTTGATCTTGTTCGGAAGGAGTGTTGTTTTTCTATCATCATTAGATATGAAACAAAAAAAATCTAGAAATATATTCCACGAAATAACCATAAGCTATGCGACCTGTTAACGTAAGTCACAAGCCACAATGACGATACCGAATGTAGAAAATGAATCTGTATCAATAATGCCTTATTTTGAACGTGTATTAGATTGTGTTGTATCAAATACTTTCAGTTGCTGGCTGACCTTTTCAAACGGAGTGATATATTCTTTCATTACACCTGTTGGATTATCTGTTCTGGTATGTATTTCAGTAGAAACATATAACACAAGTTCGACATTTCTAAACTATATCTTAAGACTCCCTTAAACGGCGAATGGAACATTTATGAAATGTCAAAATGGTATTCGAAAAAAAAAAAAAAAAAAAAGAAAAAAACGCAGAAAATCAGAACGTTAATTACACGGCAAAAATATTGAATGGAAGTAAATTATATGAAATTATATCGTGTTTATGTCTTTCATGAATAGAACATACTGATTAAAAACACTATACCTAAACAGGTAATACCATATACAAGCCATTAATCAGAAATGTTGATGGAGTTGTTTCTCTTTACAGGTAAATATCATTGTCCTCGGCATTGTTGTTAAGATTGTGTATTCGTCCAAGCAGATACAGACAAAATCAGAAAAGAAGGCAACTATGTAAGCATATTGCAATGTCAAATATAGCCGATATAATTATGAAGTTAGTTAAATTAATTATCATCAAATGGTAAAATTACTCTAAGATGGTCGTAGATTAGGTTGTTTTCCACAAAATAAGTATACAATTACCTTCATGCGAACTGTCTAGATAGGGCTCAGGTAATTACTTATAGAATCAAGGAATGAATTAATATATGGACATGTATAGTAGATCAAGTAACAACACTATGCCTCTGACCACTGGTCGATAGATATACATTTAGCTCGTCTCAATCTGCCGTTTAGATTATGATTAAAAAGTCTGTCTAACTGAACACAATTTTGAATAATTTAATCAACTTTACATATTAATTTTTAATAGTTCAATGTTTCACAGTAATACAATGATGTATTCACCAAATAACTCACAATCTTGTGATTTCAGTTCTGTACTGATTTTCCTTTTGTAACCCTTTTACGGCATATTATGGAGGACATTTTGAAAAACATGCAAACGTGGTTTTGAAACGACTCATTATAGACATTTCATGGTGTCAGTGTCAATGTCCCGCAACATATCTTTTTGTAGGTCTATCTGGTAATGCGTATCAATGTTCAGGAGAAAGTTTCTGTTATGATGAAATTGTATTCGAATTATAAAGACAATATATTTGATACAAATTTAAGGTATTGTGTTCCAGTTTTTTTTTTTTTTTTTTTTTTTAAACTTACTAGCTTCCACAGGCAGAGCTACAAGAGCTGATTTCAAAGAGATAACTGATTGCACAGTAGTTTTAAATCTGTTGACAAACAATCGATTACACCAAGTTGTGCTCGAGTTATGGAAGAGTCTGCATTTGCATTTATCACACTTAACAGGTTATTTCTTAATTACACTCGATATCGATAACAAATTATCTTATCTTCATATCAGATATTATCGCAAATCGTAATGCAGGATAATTTCGATTTGTTGCAATTATAGAAATATTCAGGAAAATATAATTCAGATTATTTCCAAAGCAGCGTTTGAATTCATTACCGTAGTTTTATAAACATTGCCACTAAAACATGTTGAAGAGTATTTATATTCACTCATCACAAAATGGTTTGACAGAATACTGATAATATTAACAACGAACGTGTTCTAAATAATCGCATTTGTCCTAGTTAATGAGCTATTAATATTGAGAAGCATTTAAAAATAGCCAAAAAAGAAAGATAAATAAGAAAAGAACAACAACGCTTTAAATGCATACATTCGAGGACATCTTTCACTTTTAGGGCCGGCATACGGAGTATGTCCATACTACTTCCGGTTCTTGGTATCACGTGGTTATTTGGCACTTTGTCAGTTTATGATAACCTCATGGTGTTTCAGTACTTGTTTGCCTTGACCATCTCGCTTCAGGTAAGCAACATAAATATAGTGAATTTTTCAATTAATGAAGAATTGATTACAATGTTTTACTGGTGTTGCATCAGGAACATGTCCTTTTTAATTAAATCCAGTGCACGAATCAGGAAACAGATGGAAAATCATTTTCAAAGCATATCTGATTTTAAATAAGGCTTCAAATAACACAGAATGGGATGTCGATTCTTTCTTATTCTTTTCTTCGCATAATGCACAAGCAATGAATAAAAATTAATAAATGATTTGCATTCCTTTTCGTGTTCACTTCTTTGGGGGAAAACATGACTTTGTTTTCCTTGTCCTTAATAAACATCAATAAAAAAACCACTGTCCCTTAAGTTAATTGTAGTTGTTGTACGTTTTGCAAACTCTATAAGACCATAACTCTTGTCTATCGTTTTTTCAGGGTTTCTTCATATTTCTGTTGTACTGTGTTTTCAATTCTTCGGTAAGTTCATCGAACGAAATGTTTATAGCAAAAGTGGCACTGCTCAGAGTTTAAACATGTACTTTATGTTCTTTTGAAACTAGCAAATATAGATAAAATGATAAATGTATTCAGTTATTAGGCTAGTGCGTTTCCTCAGTATGTCTTGACATTTCTTATAACTAATATTGATTTCTTTGTGTCCCTTTATAGATTTTAAAATTTAGACCATTAGCATTATTGACGAGGATGAAACAGCTATATGGTGTAGTGTTATTCATGACCTGCTATGACTATGTTCTCCTGATTTTAATTTTTAAACTGTATTAAAAGGTCCTATGTATGCAACAATGTTTATTAATGGAATGTTTTCTTATATAGAATAGGAAAATGAATATAAGCTTTTTGTTTAGATAACGATAAATGAAATTTCCATAAAAGCACACATTCGATAAGAAACATGAATGATAAAATTAATTTAGATGATAATATTCCTTTCTTTACAAAAGGAAAAAAAATGCAAAAATAATTAATCGGAACGATCGAAATCATTGTCTTTTACAAATATTCATATTTCATATTTTTGAAAACCGAAAAAGGATAAAAACATACTAATAATAACCTACATAGTTTTCATTTATTGACTGTTTGTGTGCATGCTGATTGTAGATGATCAATCTATTTCATCTTATCTCATTTAACAGGTTCGAGAAGCTCTTGTGCTGGTAAAGGAAAAAGTGGAATTATCAAAGATGCAACTGTTCAAGTCAGAAAATGTAAGAAATGCGGTACTTAACATGTATCCTCCATTCTACGAGTTTGAAAGAATTATAGATAATTATTTCCGAAATTGAGGGAAATTGTACTATAAAATGAATTCTGACAAAAATTACCAGAAAGGAATGATTTGGAAGTCCCGAGTTTGCCATAACCTGCATGTAACGTTTTAATTCATTCGAAAAGTGACACGGTTCAGAAAATACACGTGTACTTGACACTGTTCCAATATTAACTGATGACACTGTTCCAAAATTAACCGATCACTTTGGATTTCCCTCAGTTGCCTAAATGAGTCCTAGAATGACGACATAGCCGTATGATGTAGCATCACTGACGAGTCCTAAAAGGGCGTAACAGTTGTATGATGTAGAGTTCTAGAATGTCGACACAGCTGAATGATGTAGCATCACTGACGAGTCCCAAAAGGGCGTAACAGCTGTATGATGTAGCATCGCTGACGAGTCCTTAAAGGAAGAATCAGTTCTATAGTGTTTGGCTCTACTTTATCTTATCCAAATTAATATTCGAGAAACAATATTTCCTTGAGAGGTTGTCATTCATGAAGGCTAAGCAAAGATGAGGGACATTTTTTGGTTTCCAATGAAATTTTATTAGCAATACATGTACTAAATAACAAACTATTTTCTGAAATGGTAAGATATATGGATTGGTATGGACTCTTGAACATATTCTAAAGAAACCATCTACTCCAAGGATTTTAAAGCTCCGTAATGTTAACAAATCTGACCAATACCTAATTTATTCGAGATTATAAAATAAAATAATATATAAAATCTAGGTACTTGACGGAAACTATGACATTATATCATTTTACACTTCTCGTAATTCCCGGAATTCTGACAAATATTGTCAGATTTTGACTAATGTTGACTTTATTCAATTTAAAGCAATATATAACTTGCTTCAAATCTGAAAATAAAAATTGAAGTGAATGGAAACGAAAATATCTATTTAAAGGATAGTCCCGTAACTTTGACAAATGCCAATGGAGTTTGACCAATATCAAACTTGTCAGAGATTTCAATAGCATAAAGTAGAACACGCGGTGCCAAATTAGGTAGAGTCCACTGAAAAAGTCTTTCAACGGAAACCTCAAACATATAAGTTGGTCAAATGATCAACCGTTCACCGGTCTATGTCATCAGCTATGGTATCAAATAACTGGGCTTCTCAGCAATATAAAATTTAGTTCATTGTAATTAATATACAAACGTATATATTAATTATTGCTAATTTTATTGGCAGAATGTGATGAAATCGTGGAAAGGTCACCAAGGTAAGACCCGAAGATGTAAATTAATATATATACAGATTAATGCACAATATTTACAATTTAATATTGTAATTCGACATAATGTATTTCTTAAAAAGCTTATGTAGATGATACTTGAAATAATTTATTTTTCCTATGTATAAAATTTATATCATTTGCTTATTTATTTTTATACTTTCAGACGGTAACAGAGATGATTTTGAAATCACAACTGAAACAGATTTCAAACTCCCTCGCCCAAATTTATCTTTTGAGGTAAGATTTTATCTACTGTGTGTTATTGGAATTTTTGGGAAATTCTTGTCTTTCAACTGATGATAGATTTGTCATTAATTTTTCAGGAGATACAACCGTTTTCCTTTCCAAAACGCTTCCCGTCCTTTTCAACAATACATATGAATGAATCATCAACGTGACGACAGGATATATTATTGTCAGTACAAGTGAATCCATCAGGCACCATCCTTTATTGGATAATAGCTTTATTCAACAATTACGGAAATACCACATGAGAAGCAGAGACCTAAACATAAACAAGGGAGATAACTGTTTCATCCATGCAACAAATTTGTTGTAAGGATTAAACTGGGTAATCTTTCTGTCGACTGCATTGTCACAGACAGTAATCAAAAATAATATTATTCTTTCACATAGGTTTATCAATAATTAAAGTTGATAGCTAATTAAAAAAAGAAGTTTAATGAAGAAATTTTGTCAATGGTACACCTTCTATATATATTAAGAGATTTTAGTGCGTACAATGAAATATATGATTTATTCGCAAGAAAGCATGTATCTATAACAAACAAGAGTTGTAAATAAATTGATGGATTAATATGCCAGTGGTTGTCAGTGAAATATTGTTCTCTTCTAGACTTGAGGATTTAAGTATCTGGAGTGGAATATGTCTCTTCTTCTAGTTAACCTTCGAGACAATACATTTGACACTTAAATTGAAGGCATCGCTTTTAAAAGAAAAATGTATGTAGCGATATGATGGCCACATAAGCACATAAGAAAAATGCCATATTTTGTACTTTCTGACATTAATCGATTTTCTTTCTTTCATTATTGTTATGGACTTTTTATTGTTTTTGTTTTCAGTATTAATTAATGTATCATTTCAAGATATTTGTTTTATTATTACAATATTAGATGTTTAGTAAACATTCAGTATATTTATCAATATGTGTTGTCTATCTTAAAGATATGAACAGGAACCAAGATAAAGTTCAGTTTTGGCTTCCTCATCTTATTAAAATGTAGATAACATCAGAAAAAAATCTCGTCTCTATATTTTCCCCAAAGTACCTGTCTCATTTATATTGTTATGCATACATGTATAAGTGTAAGTATTTCTATAGTTCATCTTTTGCCTGGTTTAATTGAATGTTAAAACATAAATATAAAATCAGAATGTCAATTGTTAAAAGCCAAAATAGCAGATTAAACACCAAGAATACAAACAAATGTAAAATATTGTCTAATGTTCAACAAAAATTCATTGATTCGAGAAACTTTGATTCAACTATAATGGATCTGTTGAAAATCGAGAAAACATTTCATGAAATGAGACGAGGTGAAAATGGTAAAAACAAATATTCACATATCTAATTCATTCTTTCATGTTGCGTGCATTATTCACAGATTTTGTTTCAACAACAATCAGTCACGTTTAACTTTAGAAAAATTAAGTATACCCAAATTTTAATTATGTGAGACAAAGGGCAGATGTCCTGATTAAGCATTTAAGTATACTGTAACTTATATATTTTATATCTGTTCGCATAATACATGTATGACTCCTGATAACACACTTTAAGGTGAAAACAAACATTTTGTTTATGTAAATATACACTGTTTTCAAATCATTAGTAAAAATTTATTATGTATATATATATATATGTGACAAAATTGGTACTTGTTTGGGTTAAGATCGTATAATTAATGAAAACAGTATGTAATCAAAAGACTCATGGTTGATCGAGAGTCACATGTCAATAAAAAACTTATAAACAAATATTAACCAAGGGACGTAACTCCTGTAAGACAATTATCAAAGTGTGCCAATATGTTGAAATAACAATGTTTATATCACATTTATAATTGCTCAGTTATTATTAAAATCACCAATGTTAATATATTTGCATTTTGTTATTTTATTCTAGCATTTAAACTTGGTTGTTTCGTGATTGGATTTTCATCTCCATGACTTCCTATGGCTAGGCGTTGTCTCACCAATGAACATCAACTTTCTGTAAACGTGTTCCATAACATGTAAAGAAAGAAACATCTCGTTAATCTGTGGACAATTGTAAAGGGACAGAAGGATTGAAAACAGTTCTCTGAAAGTAGAGTTTCCAATCTATTTTCTAATTTTATACTGACACTCGAAATCTTTTTGCTGGCATCAGTTCCTTGTAAACTACAACAGGGAGATGCCAATATGTGAACAAAATGAATATTCAAATTCAAATTTAATAAAACAAAAACATGAAAAAAATATCAACATATCAACGTTATCATAATCAAGACTTAAATTCAATAAAACCATGTCAAAATATGAAGAAAACAAAGATTTACATGGAGACTTCTATACATGTACATGGAGAATAAGACAAGAATGTGAATAGACGTTTGCTGCTTTATCGACGACATTCACTATGCTAATTTTGGTCAATTCAAGTAAGTTATTATCATTATGACATTCTTAATGACCCGTCAACACATAAATGGTCATTAGGCCCATCAACCGGTAAAACAAACAGCGAACCAAAAATGAAATAAAAAGGTAAAAAACTAATGCAAAAATCTTAAATGGTTATATTATCACAAAAGATTAAAATTGTACGTTATAGTCTATTGCATAGACCAACATATCTCAGATAACCTAGAATTTTACAAATCTCAACAGTTTCAAAAAGGATCTTTAAACTTTAATCCCGAGTAGACAGAAGGTTAATGCAGTCCAATATGCATGTTTACCGGTGAATGGCTCATCACATCCTATGCACCGAGGATTACCGTCGCCGTTCAACATATATAAATGTGTAATGTTCCATCAATGTTAAGCTTTAAGGAATGCAATTTATTATTGGTATATTAATTCCATTCCTCCTGCCATTAAGCTGTAAAATTGTTTAATAAATGGTTTAAAATCGGTAATATGAACAGGTAGAAGCGATAAAGCTTCCTTTGCAGCAAGATCTGCTTTTTTATTGCCTGGTATTCTCATGTGCCAAGGAACCCAGCAAAGAGCAATACATCTTTTAACTGCATTTTCGAGAAGGATGAACAAAAGGTGTCAGTATCTGATTTAATCATTTCATAAAATGAAAAGTCAATTTCAGGTGAATTCAAGAGCAAAGGTGGAATTTCTATCGTTCCAAATGTCTGAATTTGGTCAATATCAATATTTGTGTTTTGTAAAAGAGCAGAAATCCGAATACCGAATGATGGAATGGTGTTTTATTTGTTTTGAAAGATGTTTTATATTTTGGATCAAATACAAGTGAAAAAAACAGGATTTGAAAGATTTGATTTAGCTGAATGGTGTATTGCAAAGCAATTTATTTCGACGGCTATATAGTGATGGTTCGTTAGCATCTAAATATAGAGGCTTGCTGTAGGTGTGGTCTTAAAAGCTCCGAAAGCTATCCTGAGACTCTGGTGATGAACATTGTCTAATAATTTGAGATATGAAGGTCTAACAGATCCATACACAATGGAACCGTAGTCTAATTTTGATCTAATGAGAGCTTTATAAAGTCTTAGCAAAACTTTTCTATCAGCTCAACAACCAGTGTGGACACCAGCTTTAGAATATTCAGTACCTTAAGGCATTTGTCTTTAAAGTATTTCATATGTGGAAGGAAAGACAATTTCTTGTCGAATATTACAACTAAGAATTGGGTATGCTCAACAACCGGAATGGGTACATCACAATGAGATAGATTTGGATCGTCGTGTTGTTTCCGAATTTGATAAAAATGCATACAAACTGTTTTGATTGTTAAAATTTAAATCCATTCACATCTGCCCAAATTTGTAGTCGATTCAAGCATTGTTGTAGTTGTCTTTCGATGATATTCATATGCTTAGATCGATAACATATAATGAAATCATCGACATAAAGAGCGCCCGCCATTGAAGGGGATAATGTTTTGACAAAACTATTAATTTTTAGTACAAAAAGTGTAACCGAGAGAATGCTGCCTTGTGGTAAACCCATTTCCTGCTGATAAATATCGGAAAAGGTCGTTCCATTCCGGACTTGAAATACTCTGTCTGATAGAAAATTTAGAATAAAAATTGGTAGATTACCTTTAATACCTATATCGTGCAGATCTTTTATTATGCCGTATTTCCATGTTGTGTCGTAAGCCTTTTCTAAATCGAATAAAACAGCAACCAAGTGTTCCTTCTTCAGAAAAGCCTCACGCACAAAGGTTTCTAGTCTAACCAAATGATCGTTGGTACCTCGTTTAGACCATTAAATTCACCCAAAAGTGGGGAGGCATTTGCGAAGGAGTTAATCTTATTGGTTGTTCGTAAAATCAGAGTTGGGAGGTAGATAAATAGAGCATACTCTAAGCGTTCTCCGGAGCGTAACACTCAGCAGTTGCCTGGAGATCTGTATATAATGTTATATTTCTGTGAGGAAATTGGTTGTCAAATCCACTGGTTGCTTTGTTGCTTCCAGGATTGAAGCAATTCAACAATGAATATTTTCTTAAATTGATAATTATCTCGGCTCTGGTGAGCGTTTTTTGGAGACATATTATACTATGGTTATGTTCTTGAGACGACAGTCGAAGAACTTCATCAATATTGGATCGAATACCTCTACAATTCCTTTAGATTATTGTATCCATTATTGCTAACATAAATAGATGTAAATGGGCACCATTGATTATTAGCTAGACTACTTGTTTAAGCTAAGGTGGTTCGACAGCTTTAGAGATCTTGGAAGACTTAGATATTCCATATCCTCCAGAAAGGCGAATTTGTTGAAGGTGTGAATTTGGTCGTCAGGCTTTTTTACCTTCTAAATTTGATTTTTTTTCTTTTGGTTCATTTTTCTTTTCTTGATTGAGAGCTGGTTTTGATGATTTTTCTGACTTTGTTTATTGTAGGGTGATGGTGGTGGTTGTGATGACTATGTTGAAGAAAACTTTGATGCAGCAGGCCGTGGGTCAGAATGACTGTTACACACCATGTCAATCTGTGTCCTTGCATCATGTGTCTTTGACAGTATCCTGGATCTGCATGGTCGTAATGTCAGCATTTGCACGACTGGCACATGATGGACCCGACACTGGCGTTTCAACAATTTTCTTTGCCTTAGGAAAAGTGTTGGTGTACTTGACGCGAAGGATTTCTTTTTCCTTGCACTAAGTATGGCAATCTCAAGAATATGATGTATGCCTCCCAAGACGGTTTGCACAGAATGTTTGACCATTACATGCACCATCTGCAGGCCCATTTTCGTGGCCTACCACTCCACACTTTTGCACACATTTTCTGTTTCTTCTACTTATCAGAATGATGACAAAATTGCTGGCAACCAAATCATCATAGTGACTTTGGGATGTTTACATCCACACCAACACTCTCGAAGCCAATCTTTACACGTTTTGGTAATACTGGGATGTTGAAAGTAAGAACGAAAGTGTTGGTGTCACGGTTGCTTCCATCTCGCTTCACCCTGATCCGTTTAACATGTTTGACCAGCTGTTTTTCTTTGAAATAACTGCGTATGTTCTCCTCATTCTCTCCCTGAAAAGATGGACAGAATATAACGCCCTTTGATGTGTTCAGGGAGGAATGAGGGACAATCTCCTCATCTCAGTTAAAAACCGCATCCCACGGCAGACATGTTGCCCCTTTTAGTGGACTTTTAACAGATATATTCTAACCCCTGTCAAATGTCAAATTCACAAATGAGAACAAGGTATACAACAAGGGAACCGGCAAGCAACCTTACAGTCTCACATTTTCAAAGTTAGCACGTTTAATTTAATGACTTTGCTTTTATTTTGTAAAGCGAAAATAAGCCTAAAATATATTTTATAATTTTAATTTATAGAAATCATGATCCCAAGGGGCAGATTGAGTTTATAATTTGGGTTCGTTAACCTGACAATACTGTTATATATTATCAATGCAGTTATCGTGTGAAAATACATTATCAAAAGCTCTTATCACCGTTAGCCCGGCAGACAAACCAATCATATCACACGACACATTGTCACCTGAAGGGAAACGTGTCCTAACCAAACAAAACCGAAGAGAGAACAGATAAATGTAAAATCAATAAGTGCCTATGTACATGGTGTTTTAAGCGGACTTAGTTTTTGTCTAAACAGCATACAAACGAATCATCTTCAGAGTGTAGAATTTGCGAAACTCTTCAAGGGAACAATATTTTCTGCCAAAGGTAAGACATTCAAACACAAATAATTATAATGCTTAGTAAAATCCCTCTCACTTGAATTCCTAGTTGATCGTCTACGGGTCTAATTATATGATGTATGCGAACATCACGAGTTGCGTATTTGCTACATCTCAGTTTCACCAGTTCATTTTCTAATCGTTTCGATTTCAAACAGAATTACAGGTTGCTTTGCAACATTTGTGCAAAGAGGATACCGAAATGTCAACAGAGTCTTAATTCAAAGTCGATGAAACTAGGACAAAGTTTGAACCAAAGAAAGGTTTTCTTCACTCTGAAATGTCATTACATGGAATTATTCTGAAGCATCTCATTCTAATTGGTGTATTTGTAGATCTTTCCTTTGACCGTTTTTTATGATTCAAACGATGCCAAATGATATGGCCTGAGATTCAAGACGAGAGTGACCTTATAAGGTCAACGTAATCACAGACAGGAACGGAATTAAAGAAAAATAAAGCATTGGACCAATAAATATATACAGAACGAAAAATAAGTTTTCATTCCCCACGAAAGTTATTGGAACAGGCCTTGGAAAGTTGAAGTCTTACAGGCCAAGGAAAGTAAAAATCAAAACATCGAGACAATTAAAAAAAATCACTAAAGAATTGAAAATAAATTTGAAATACGTATTACTACATAACTCAGGTTAAATTTTGATGTGATTAAAAGTAAAAAATGTGGAGAACATAATCAAAAATGGGGGCTGGCATTTTGTTGCACAGACAATTCATGACGTAACATGGCGAAGTCAATGAAAAATTCCAAGGGTATATTCACAAGTGACACATAAGCAAAAATAATTAATGGTCGAAATCAATGGGCAACACGCCCATTATGTGATCAATACATATAAAATAAATGAACATAGATGCACAAAACTCATTCTACACTTTTCGTCTGTTCGAAACTCATTAAGATATTCGTCTATATTTACACTTGCAAAGTTTTATCACTATGCCACATTACCACATTCAAATATTTACCTGACTTGCATGGAAACATTGACCTTTCAACTTGCGCATTTAAATGTTACAGGAACTACTTTTGTCAAACACCTGGATGAAAATTTTCAAACGGTTAAAAATCAGCAGTGGCTGTTCTACTCATTAAACCCCCTCCCACAAAACGAGTGACGTTTCCAGAGTGTATTATGTCACGTACTGACAAGGCTGTACAGTATATATATATATATATATATTTTTAAAAAAGACACTTACATGTGAATGTAACGATTGTAAATGGGAGGCTAACATAGAATATCTTCTTAGATGAATTTCTCCATGAAAACATAAAAGTAAAATCCCATTCCTATATATAACATGTTTCCTACAGATAAAACACTATTTAATTGTTCGGCTGATTCAACGTTAAGATATTTCACTATCAATAATATATCACAATGGTGTTTAGGTAGGTCACAGGCTATGTTGATGCCATTAGCAACTAAAACAAACATTAATTATACATCCGCATGCATTTTGGTGTATCAAAGAATTGTAAATAAAAGAATTTAAAAAAAAATCTTTCTCAGCAGGTATTGCTTTGTTAGTGTTTTACTAAGAAATGTAACTTACTATAAATGTTTTTGAAATGATATCAATATCAGACAGACAGAAAATCAGACAGAGAGACAGACAGAGACACAGAGAAGAAGGAGATAGAGACACCTAGTAAATTTGAGATACCAATGATAAAGAATATTTCTGCGTGATTAATAATCTGCCGAATTCCATCGTGCAATCTATTATATACGCAAACTTTTAAAGCCACATCAGAATTACTTTCTGTAAATCTACAACTCCTAAAACGGTGATTAAGCAATGGTTAGCTAGTACAAGGAAGTAAATACTTTCAATGTTAGAGAACTGGTGCACTTAAATAGATCCTCGAATAAATTTTACTTGATCAAACACTTAAGGTAACATGAAACAATTAATGTGCATTTTTCCAGATACTATCAGGCTTGTTTGAAATTACAGGTATATGTATATATATATATGTGACACTATATTTACATATCCATGTATATACGTGTATGAGTAAGCAGGAAAACGGAAAGAAATACAGTCTCCATGGCGATACATAACAATATGCATAGAAGTGTGTTACGAGGAAAAGGACAATCCGTTATGGTGTATGTTGAGAAATGTTTATGTATTTTATTGTCTTACAATTCCATGATGCTCGTATTTCGTAAAGCAAAGATACAATATAAAATATATATTTTATATTTTTTTCAGAAATCATGATCCAAAGGGGCAGATTGAAGATATTATTTGGGCTCATTAACCTGATAATACTGTTATATATCATCTATGCAGTTAGCAAACCTGATTTGAAAATACATTATCGAAAGGTCATATCACAGTTAGCCCATCAGACAAACCTTTTACATCGCACGCCGCAATATCATTTGAAGAGTAATGTGTCGTCACCGAACAAACTGAAGTGCGAACAGGTAAATCAAACGAAAACGCTATTATTGTGGACGCCACAAAACTGGTTCAACGATTGGGTCGGAAATAAATGGACACGTCACGCGTGTTTGATAAGTGTCGCGTGTCGAATTGTGTCCTCACCAAACAACGTCAGTACATGGATAATGCAGATATTGTTTTATTTAGAGCGAGTGATTTAAAAAATTGTCTAAAGAAGACTAAACGTGAGCAAATATGGATGATATTTGAACACGAAGCACCTACTTCCTTCGAAATTCTCAGCAAACTAGATCAACACTGCTATAGAAATGCGTTCAACTGGACGCTAACGTATCGTAGGGATTCTGATTTCACGTTTGTCCATGGACTTTTCTCAAAACGTACCTCCATATTCAATGAAAGTGTTGTAGATAAGATCATCAAGTCCAAGACCAAAACAGCCGTAGCCTTTATCAGCCATTGCCATAGCCAATCTCGAAGACTTGAATACATCCAGAGACTCCGCCAAAACGGTATTGACGTGGACATATACGGAGAGTGTGGAACTTTAAAATGCAAATACGGTCTAGGATATGCAGGCGATTTCAAGATGATATGGAAAGTAGCGTCAGACCTCAAAATGAAAAAAGATTGTTTTGATGTTTTAGACAGTCGGTATAAGTTCTACATCTCATTTGAGAACAGCCTTTGTGATGACTACAACACAGAGAAATCCCACCATCTTGTGCTACAACATAACATTATACCTATCATAAGAGACGCGTCCAATCATAGTTTGTTCCATCCTCCGAAATCGTATCTGGACACAAAGGACTTCAAAACCGTGAAATCATTAGCGGATCGTATTAAACAAATAAATTACAGTTCTGACGAGTACAAGAAATATTTACAATGGAAGAAATATTTCTACTCAGAAACAGTCCGCGGAGTTTTACAATCGAACATGTGCGATATTTGTGAACGACTACACAACCAAGATAAATATCGGAGAATTCATGGAAATATAGTGGATTTTTTATTTACACGCGGAGACAAATCCCCGATTTGTCATAAACCACTTGATCTTTGACGTAAGTTTTTTTTATATAAACATATCAAATTGTTTACAATTGCTGTGTTTCCCCTAATAAAACATAAGAATATCGACTGTGTTTATACTCCAATAAATTTAGTCCAGAACGTGCTAGACGATGACGTAACAATATTGGCGTAGGAATTCATGTTTACGAACAAACACCACGTGTTGCTAGCATCGACCAAACGAGACTTTTAAATAAAAGTTCTGTAGATAAAATTATTACACACAAAC